TGACCTTGTTTTGATACAGACCTCACTGCTTCTGTTGTGTAAAACAAGTTGTTCTGATGCTAACTAGGTGCATTTACATGACAAAAGCAGTGAGGTCTGTATCAAAACAAGCTCAACTCTAGCCTCGCTGCCATACAAAGGCCAGGTCACTGAGCAGACAACTGTAAAAATGGTCTATTCCCCTAATAAAACTGCACATAGATTTTTGTTCAAACTTTGTCCAATGAATATTTATCATATGAGAACTTAAACTATAAAATAAAAAAGGGGGTGCCTATGCACGTTAAGGAGCAGTGAGGCATTGAAAATGTCCCATATTAGCGTTATTTAATGCTTATTACAAGAACACATTCCAAGTTATTGTAAACTCTTTGTGAGCCCAGACTCATGACTCAAACTACAGTCAATACTTGTGTCAGACACAAATAAACTTTTTAAGTTTGGTTTTGACAGACAGCTGAATCCTTGTTAAAATATTGGAACCAAATTGCTTGCCACAGCTATCAAACTGCAAAATAGAAGAGACTACAATGTAGCTGCTACTTTTCTTATTTATTCAATTTTCAAGAATAGAAATCAGATCAGTCTTGTCTCACGCAAAGCTAATGATTAGTTGATTAAAATGACTGGAAAAAAATTTGGGGTGCCCGAGCTCGTCAGTGAGCTATAGCCATTTTTTCAACTGACAGAACTCAATATCAAGGCAAATCCGCCTTGTTTTCAATGATCGCGTGCACGAACACGCGCTAATGACGCCATAAATTATGCGCAGTAAGGATGCACAATGCAATACAGGGGAATGAACTGAAATGGCTTTAATTATAATTTATTTTACAATTTTCTATTGTCTAGGTCAGTTTTCTCTTTCCATGCCAGAATATTCCATAAATTAATACGTAACGGAAAGAATACGCGTCCTGCATAAATTATTTCACGTGATGTTTTGCACGAAATGCACAAAGATTTATTACAGACGTGCAGAACCATTGTTTTGCTTATTTTAAAATGCTTTATTTACAGACGTTCTTGGTACTGTTGCCTTAGAGAGAGACAAAATAAAATTGGTTTAGATAGTCGTGAAATCGCGAAGTAAACTATGAGTTACTCGTCACTTCGTTTCCTGCAATTTTTTTGTATTTTCCTCTTTAGGCAGATGATGTGGATCGCAAAAACGTGTTTAAAGTACACCACAAGAATGTCAAGGTGTTTTTATTCGAGGCCGAGAGTGAGTACAGTATGAACAGGTGAGGAGAATTTACCAACATTTATATTCTCTTTAGTTGTGGCGATAAGTGTACATTAGTGCTAGTATCGAGAATTTGTTATTGAATCAGGACAATTTAATTAGTATCCTTCCTGTAACTTGCTTGATTGAGTCTGAAACAACTCTTTCATCCCCAAGTGTGATCAGAATATCATTTCTCCCTACAATTTCAATACTCTGTCAAGAAGACACGTGATGAGAATGTTGAAATCATGAACTAGGAGACATTTTCTTGATGTAAAGTTAAATTCTCAGAGCTAGAATCGAAGGAAATGTATGGCAGGCTTTAAGGAGAATTTTTATTTTTATCAGATGGATGGAACTGTTGGCATATGCGATCAAGGCTGAGGCGATTGACGAAGAACAGCTTGGACGACCTCACAGCGATAGTGTAGAGTAGACAAATAATCTTAGTATTTTAAAAAATTACAAGTCAGGGAATTTTATATAGAACGGTCGCGAAATGTGGGAAAACGTAAATTAAAAAAGTCAAAACTGTAGCTTTTTCATATTTGGAGTTAATATTGTATATGGGAAGTTTAATGCAAACATAACATGAAACAAAATTTAATATCAGATAGGTAGTAAAACGTAGTTTATACCAGGAAACAGCCAGTAAGTTTGGATAACCCTTAATAATTCGCCGTATTTCACAGGCTATTTTAGCAACGGTGTATTTCGCAACATAATTAATTTGCCGCTTGTTACAAGGCGATGGGATAAAATTATTAACAATGCCTCTCGGTATACAATGGACATAGTGGAAAAAATTCAGAGATTCGTCAGAAACGGCACCTTGATCTTCGGACAATCTTTGGAACTTTTCGAAAAAGAATTTTGAATCGTCGATCATTTTGATTAACTGTTCAAGTGAACTGAGCAAATTGTTTCAGGGTGGGTAGACAGTCAGCGTAAAACGAAGACTGCATGCGGCCTGCAGACTGCAGACTGCGAACCGGAGGTAAAATGCAGAAAGAGAGTAAACTGCAGACTGCAATAGCACGCGAAAATGGGTCTGAGTTCGCAGGCTAATAACATGCACACTGCATACCAGGGTTAAAATACAGCCTGCAGACTGTAGACTTTTTAACTGAACCGTGTTGCCATTTCCATCATTGAAAGCTGACCGTAAACAGGCTAGCCGGAGCGTTATTTGGGCTAACTGGAGCGCTATTCAGGCTAACCTGTGTGATGTTTTGGCCAACCAGAGTGGTATTCAAGCTAACCGGAGTGATATTCAGGCTAACTGGAGTGCACACTTTTCACTACGATTACCCTGAAAAACCCTGTTTATGGTCAGCACTCGAAAATGGAAATAACACGATATACGCTTAAAAGGTCCCAAGTCCGTAGTCTGCACTTTAACCTCAGTCTGCATTTTACCCCCATGTCTACAATCTGCAGTCCGCAGTCCGCCGTCTGCAGTCCACCGTCTCCGTTTACACTGACCGCATGAGATAATGACGTTACACGGTGTTTATACTCGTGGTTTACAGTAGATGTCCCACGAAATACCTTTCGAAAGCATGGCTGACTAGCTTGAACATTTATTTTGGTATCATTAGTAGAGAACTTTCATTTTTTTCTATGGACATCACAAATTTCATATATAACTTTAAAAAAAAAATCGGTCATTCCTTTTTCAGGAAACATGAAATTTCATTGGGTGTCAATGTCTTTTAATGACCCAACCTTGACAATTTTAGTTTATTTTATACGACTGTAATTGCCTTTCTGGAATCAATATGCACCTTGCACCTTTTTTTTAAATAAAGCAATAATAAAGCAACAGCAATAATTTTGCTGTTGTACATGAACTCGCAGCCGAGGATATAGCAATCAAGTATATTTTTAAGAAATGGAGTTCTTGATAATATTTTTATTTTTTTTTTGTATAAAATGTGTTTCAGAAGAGTTAATTTAAAGAACATTTTAAAGACATGAAGAAATGTCCATTTAGGAGGGGTCATAGATCTACCTATATATTTTTGTGCAATGTGTTTGAGTCGTTCTTTGTCACGTCTCATCCCAGGGAAACGTGCATAAATAAAATTTTGTCACCAGAAATTATTATTTAGTCTATACTGTGCAGTTCTAGATAATGTCCATACCCACGCACCACCGGCTGCTTCCCCCCCTCTCTGCACTCCCCGCCCCGCTTAGAAGATCATTAGAAAGTCTTTGGGATGGGTGGTTTCCATGAGGGTTTTGGGAGGGGGGATGCTTGCGCGCACTGATTTGTTCCGTAATAATATTACAGGCGGGAGATGGCTCTGTTTTTTGGTAAAACACATGCCTTGATATAAAATGTTACAGGCTATCGTGGCATATTCCACGGGTAGAAACTTCGCGCAAAATAAATGGCTAAAATAAAAGCTACTTTTGACGAATAAGTGGGAGGCTCGGTGGCCTCATGGTTAGTGCGCTCGTCTCCGGATCGAGCGGTCCGGGTTCGACCCCTGGCCGGGGACATTGTGTTGTGTTCTTGGGCAAGACACTTTACTCTCACAACGCCTCTCTCCACCCAGGTGTATAAATGAGTACCGGCGAACTTAAATGCTGGGGGTAACCCTGCGATGGACTAGCATCCCGTTCAGGGGGGAGTAGAAATACTCCTAGTCGCTTCATGCTACAGAAACCGGGATAAGCTCCGGCCTGGTGGGCCACTTGGCTCGTATGCAGACTTTACTTTTACTTTTTTACTTTGACCAATAAGATTCTGTTGGCTTTGAATATGATTTTTCTCCTGATCTATCCGCGCGTCACTTTCGCTGTAAGCTTGTGTACGATTCGGTTGCGTGGAATACCTGGTTAATGTACATTAAATATTTACCAGGAAATAATATTCTGTGGCTTTTCAGACAAATACAATTTGCCTAACGAGAACCCATACTGGTTTGAGTAGAAAAGAGAGCAAATAGGACTATTTTTAGCCATTTATAAATAGCTTTTTATTTCATTTCGCCATCGTTGCATGGAATTGAAGAACTAAGCTTCGTCTTTTGGCACGCACTGCCTGATGGGAAACGGAATTTTGACGATTGGCAAGGTCACGTGAGTCGTGGTCTTGCACACTAAATCATCCATACAGCCACACTTGTGCACGCTCTAAATGAGGGATAAAAAGAAAGAATTCATCCCTATTAGTTAAACTTTTTATGTCTTCTCAGAGTAACTACAGTGGCGATTCAGACTACTGTAGCATAGGAGAGAAATAGTAAGCGAGTGAATAATAACTTTTCCACCCCCTGTCGGACATGACGTTTACAACGAACTGAAGAGGGTGGAACTGAAACCCCCTAGCTGCCCGCAGGATCAACCTCAGAAGCCGTGCAAGATAGTGCCGGCCGTACTTCAAATCAGAAATTAAGGCAACTACATTTGAAAATTGAATAAATTAAAGGAAAGGCGACTTCAAACTATTCTCCGATACACATTTATTATCCTTGGTATATATTGAATATGTGCTGCAAGGGTAACGTTTCTTGCCCAAGTCATGGCTGGAAATCAGGCTGCTCTATCTGTAGTCCAACAAGCTCAGTAATTCTAAGGCTACCTTACCCCTGTAGACTATAGTTACAAGAAATTACTAGCCTCTACCAGGGCAGAGGTCAATTACACGAACTAACCTTGAAGTAACAAGTGAAGTATTTCATCAGTTTTAAGCCACAGCGCTTGTTAAACATGCAGCAAGTGTTTGGCCAGAAACAGTCGGCCGCGGAGGTGCATTTCTGAAAGAAGCAATCGTGTTGACGCAATATATTATGAGTTTGTTCTGAAGTTTGTTATAACTTCTTGCCTGCCGTATTTGTAATAGACTATTTTGTCGGTCCATACCTCCTACCCCGTCAACTCTCCCGTTTTGCGCTGGCGTTCAGTTTTCTCGATTCTTCCCGCGTTCAACGATCGAATAAAAATATGAGAGAATAGAGGGCTGTGACAGTCTTTATTATTTGTAAGACAGCCCGAATAGCGCGGAATGCGAAAATGAATGAGAAACATGTATACATTCTTAATAAGAATTATCGAAGCATAATCTAGGCAAATTATCGTTGGTGTTCGTGGATATGGGAGAAGTGTAACTTATAAAGAGAATCTCATCGACAATTTCGCTAATTATCTGTGCTATTTGCTTAGGTCTATACAGAGAATATTTCCTTACCTTTCCGGGGTAAAATCTCGCTGTCTGATCCAGTGTCGCACTTCCAGGATTCAAGGTCTCCTTCACGTCATCTTCTGTGAGTCTTTCAACGACAATGCGCTCGTTAACCGGCATGCATTGCTTGATGAGAGCTGTTTGGCCGTCCATGTCAATTTCTCGTGTTACTTTGCAGGCTAAACCCTCTGCGCAACTGCAATGAGGATTTTCCTGCGCGCGTCAAAAACAAAAACAAAAAACAAAAACAAAAAATACAAACAACAACAACAAAAAACGTTTTATGTTCAGCGGAATGAAAAAATATAAAAAAGCAGCTGTGCAACCGAATTTCAAAATTTCGGGAATCGATTAACTCACTTGCATATCACACGGCGAATACTTCGGAAAATCGGAACAAGCCTAATAAAAGGAAGGAAAGTGTTAAGAAATTAACGATAAGTAAATGTCAGATTCCAACGGGCGTGCAACTTTTTTCCAATTTTAGCTCTCCTTGAATAGGAAGTGTTATAATCATTATTTTCTTTATCTGGTTTAGCTACAGTCAGATATTTTATTGCAAATACAGCCAATATGTATGACTGGAGTCATGAAAACGTGGTTACAGGAAAAAGTGTTTTTTTGCAGTAGGTGAGTTACAAACTGGGATTTTCTCGACTCCTAAAGGCCCAAAAATCACCTCCAGCGACCAGAAAAAAGTCTGACAGTCCTTTTAATCTTTTGTATCGTTTACAAACGCTTACAACTAGGGTAAAATTTTCTTTAACACGGTTTAATTTGATAAATCAAGACAAAAGAAATGTTTCACTAAAATGCTCCAGATCTGAGAACAGTCTTTCTTAGTCGGCCAATTTTTTTTCGAAATTGTAAAAAAAGCCATTTTTACTTTTAGTTAAAGCCAGTCATGTTACATTGTCAAGAGAAAAATCAGAAGAAATAGATAGCTCGCATGGTTAGGATTTCTTACCAAAGCCAACGAAAAGCAGACACTGAATATAACTGCTGTGATCTTCATTTCGATAACTTGGTGCCAGCAACTGAGAACTCAGTAAGATAAACCCAAGCAGGAACAAAGCTCCTAATAATTAATTTTAGTTTTAATTCAGTTGTTTTTATATATTTCCAAAACAACGCTTTTAGAAGCATGTTTGATCAGATGACTGAGTAACCCATTGCATCAACTTGTCACGTGGTAATGTCAATCATAATTACAATGAAAAGGGCATAGTGGGTTCCAAAAATTGAAAGAGAAAATTCAACTTAGTAAGCTGTAAAAGTTAGATCTTCCGGTACGAAAAAAGTTGCTAAATTGTAAGCTCTTCAAAAAACAAAATGTACAGGAGGTTTTGTATGGTGGAAGAGTAGAAACGCAGAATTTTTAAGCGACACTTTTCAAACACTTTACAAGTTGTCAAAAGTGGGTACATTAAACATTTCGCAAATGTGGTGTTTTGAGACACTTAAATACTTGTGATTGGCTGATTATGTTGACAAAACAGCATCTGATGGCTTAACATTGAGTGTGAAGTAAAGTGGAAAAGCCACTTTAGCAAAAGTGTATGTGAACTCGACTTGGGAGTCTTCAATTTTAAGAGTCTTGCATGTGTTCAAATAGATATCCAACATGTATAAGTGTTTGTTACAAATGCAAGACAACTGAGCCAACACATAAAACAAATCTTGAATCAAATATTTACCTGAAGTGTTATAGGCGCTGCAAATGGCTGTGTAGAAGTGCCGTGCACTTATATTAATTCTAGAAAACTTGTACACTCAAAAACGCATTTTGCTTTTGTGATCTGTTTGCTTCATCATATGGTTGCAAAATCTATAAGCCATCTTCAAAACGGCTGTTTAAACGATGTTATCGTCTCAGTTATGAGATCTCATGGATAGTAATTAAATGGAAAAGATGGTGCTGTAGTGGACGAATCAGTATTTTTCATAATTCTTCTTCCTCTTCCTCTTTTCAGTGTCTTTTCTAAATTTAGTTCCATTCTTTCCAGCTTTTTCTTGGCATAACTGTGATTTCAAAACAGCTTCTCTCTCTCTTACAGTCTATATAACATCGTGGATAAGGTCCTGCCTCATTTCTACGGAACTGAAATATATGGCAGTGGCGGATTCAGACCTTGAACTAAGGGGGGTTTTGCTTGCCCTGCCGGCTTTTCTACCTTCTGTGATTTCTTCTTTTTTACCCAAAATAAGGGGAGTGCCCCCCCGGACCCCTCCCCTAGATACGCCACTGCATGACCCTAACTGTAAGATTTCTAATAACCACAATCCAATAGTTGCCCCTTTGAAGAAAAATAAGCTAAGCAGCCTGTATTATTATTTGTTGTTATCTAGAATACCTAGTGATGTACTGTGTATAGGACAAGTTTGCCGTTATTTCTTGAGCCAAACCTCGATGGACTATGAGCCCCTCCAGGGGGAAGGGGAAAGTAGCAAATGCAGTGGAGTAACAGCCCTTCCGGGCGGGAGAAATAAAACTTCTATTCGTGGCCTACTGCACTAAGTGCTGGTATTGATGAGCTCTCTTCCAATGAATTGCGTTTAACGCTCAGCTTCAATTCTTCAAGCCTCAATGTATCCTTCTTTAGCTTACATACAGTCCCCTTTAACCTATGAGCCATGCTTTGACCCTTCCCCAGACAAGACCAAAGGGTTGACTTGCTGTTAAACCTAAATCAAAGCGATCGACAATAAGCAAGTAATGATTGGCCTCAAGGAAAAGCAAAACTAAAAAAATAGAACAAGCTGCGAAAATAAATTTTGCTTGACGCCGGCTAGAACACAGTTTGTCGCGGTTTCAAGGTGCACGACCTGATCACGTGCGAGTCGAAAATTCAAGTTGTACGTTGTTTCGTTGGGGGATAAGTGAGTTTTGTTCGCCCTAGGGAGTTAGCAAGTTTCGACCCATGCCAAGTGACTAAAAAAAAAAAATAATAATAAAGTCGATAAAACTTTACCTACTGATATTTCTTGTTGCTCTACATTTAAAGATGTTTCATGGCAACTTTTGCTTGGTTGCTCTGTCGTGTAAGAGAGAGCAACAGAATCGAAACGGGAATAGAAAGTAATTAAGAATTATGTGTTCACCTATTTCTACGCACCACATGTCTAGATGAAAATACACCTATTAACATACGGTAATGAGTTGCAACTTATATAGGATTAACTTTATTATTCTACACTGATTTATTTATTTCAGTCTTCATGTCAAAACATACAAACACTTAGGTCATGTGCTTGAGCTTTCTGCCGGGGGGATATTCCCAGAAAAGTTGGGTGGGGGTGTGCGGCCCGCTTCCCAAAACTCTTACCCTATTTATGACCAAAATATGCGATAGTCCCTACCTTATTTATGACCTGACCAAATATTTGATACCCTATTTATGACCTGACCATTAAATCAAAACCCTGTTTCAGACCTGCGTTATAATAAGTTCCCTAGTTCAGACCAATGTTAAATTGCCGTAAACATAATTTGTGATGGTTAATTTTCTTTTCGATGATGATAAAAAGTGGCTTCTTCTTAAAAGCATACCCATGTCAAGGCTAGAGTGCAAAAACATACCCTAGACCAAAATGGCCAAAATAGGCTAAAATCGATACCCTATTTATGACCAAGACGGCTGAAAAACCATACCCTTTGGGGCCGCACATACTTATATAGCCCATATAAGGGAGTACCCCCACCCCCCGGGGCTTTCTGTGCGGGTAATTCAACCGATGGTGACTGGACACTAACAACTTAAAATTGCGTGACCTTACGATGTAAAAATATCAAAAGTCTTGTAGCAACAGCAGATTACATTTATTGCGTGACCTGCAGTTGTCCTGTGGAATTTTCGTGATTGAAGCGTGTTAAATAGGAAGACGACAGAACTGAGAACTTTGATAGTAATATAAAACTTACTTACTGCCCATCCCGCCGGTATGGCACGTGCAGTCGGCAGTTATATAACAGATTCATTGTAATGTTAGTCGACCACGCACTTTCTACGCAATGGCACGGAATTAAACCCATGAATTAGTGCTCAGTTCAATTCTGAAATATTTCCAACTCCATTGTATTGTCCGAGGTCATGGCAACTTTTAAAATTGTGCAGGAAACCGAGGATAGCTGGACCGGCCCGGAAGTGGCGATTATACACGGTGTCAAAATCCCGACAGCACAATTGGACCCAAGCTTTAGAGAGGAGGATCTTGATCACTTTCAAACGAGAAAGGACGATGTGTTTGTAGTCTCCTACCCAAAGTCAGGTGAGTAAATAATTTGACACAGGTAAGATCATCGACATCCTAGCTTGTGTCAAAGCCGCCCCTCACCGAATGAGGAGAAGGCTGGCTGTGACAAAGTTATCGAAAATTGAAATCTGTGAAGTCGGGTTCACACACTAGGGTACATGTTAAAGGTAAGTTAAGCGGTAACAAGCTAGCCTCTTCGTCGGTGTGCACACATAGGACGCATGTTACAGGGATAATACGCGCGCAAGCTAGTGCACGCGAAGCAGATTGTGGCATAAAAATGTGTTGTAGCGGGGACAGTCAGTGTAGAGGACGCGGGGACGAAGTCATGACCTCAATTCAGTCAATGTCATATCTTCATGGCCCACGAATTCGCACAAGCTGAATTTCATCCAAAAAAATATGTTGTAGACATGCTGCTGGTGCAGGGACAATAGTTTTCCCCCGCCACGGTTAGTCCCGAAAAATGAGCACCAGAAAGACTGTCGCTGCAACAAAACCTCGTTTCATATCCCGGCCTAGCGTGTGCCGACTATATAAGAGTTTACCGAATGAATTGGCAGACATTCAATTTTGCAATTTGTGGTTTAAACAGTGTAAACATCTGGAACTTACTTTGCTCATCTACTATATAGCTGATAATCTGTACTGAACAAGCAAACATTCACATAAACAATTTTAAAAATACTTTTTCAAAATGGCTATTAAAAAAATCGCGAGATTAGCATATATTTTTCGACAAACGTGATCAAAGCCTGAGGTCACACACCATGAACTCTGAAATTCTAACCTTTTAGAGTTAAAAAAGTAAATAAAAATAAACACTAACTAAAACTACTTACGATCGCGCCATCTTGGGGCGGGGGTTGGGGGGGGGGGAGGGTAATTTGCATGTGGGTAAGCACGGAAGATGAAGTTAATGGATCGGGCAAATTCATATTTTTAGGGGCTCGGAAATGACATTTTCAACATTTGCAGGGAACAGTTTCATGTAGCAAAACGTGTAATAACGTTGAGTATTTAGTTAGCAATGTTGTTTTATGTCAATCTTTGGGATAATTTATAGTAGGTTTACTAGTCGAAGAAAAGACAGGAGACTAGAGACCGTCAAACCAGCCGATTTAATTATTTTAAAAAGACGCTTTTTGCTAAGAAATATATAATTTTTTTCGAATAAAAATAAAACACCGCCTGATCGCAGGTTCACTGAAATTCAAAATGCGCTGGTTTCCAAACAAGGAACATAGTTGTGCTGAAAACAAATATTTGAATTTAGCACCTCTTATGCCTGACGAGGAAATTCTTTCGTATTTGATTGCATCACGCAATAAACCCGCGATATAGAATCTAAAGAGATTTACTCCTGGTTTATTCAATAGTTTGCAAACGATAAAAAGGTATGGTTATTAATTAATTTGAAAACATATGCGTTGCATTACATTACGTCGCAAAAATAACCTTTCAAGTGTTGAATAATTACAATTGCGTGGATCTATACTTTTTCATGGCTGAAAGCTTTAAGATGTTGGCTACCATAGCTTGTGTTCCAGCCGCCGGAGCGGAGAGAGCGTCCCTACGTCCCGCGTCCTCGAGTCCCCGCACGTACTCCCGTCCCACGTCCCCGCGTCCCCGCGTCCCCGCGTCCCCGCGTCCCCGCGTCCCCGCGTCCCCGCGTCCCCGCGTCCCCGCGTCCCCGC